AGAGGAGAAGAGAGGAGAGGAGAGGATAAGAGGAGAGGGGAGGGGAGAGGAGGAAGACAAAAAGAGAAAAGAAAAGTAAGAATAGATATTACATTAATTAAAAGACACTTTCAGGAAAACCTAAGTTCTGCATAAAGCTTTTAAGATCATACACTATCTATAAGAAATTAATGAGGGAAAATATGCAAGAAATTAGTGAGAGCTATGGATAGAAGAACCCCAAAGGAACCACGTCCACTTAAAGTAATTATCTTCAGAGAGAATCATTGCAATTTTATTTCGAAAATTCAGAAGTACTGGTTACTGAGAATTTAGAGGGACAAATGGGAGTAAGTACTGAGTATTTAGTACAGTGGTTTCCCTTACAAAATACACAGTAGAGAGGTAGAAGTAAATGATAATAGTAAATGAGATGAATTGAAAAGTCAAGGTTTGATTTCCAAAAGCAATTCTTCCATTTTCCTCTGTCGTGTATTCATATAAAATAGGTATTTGGACAAGTGAGTGTCCATGACCACACCTGAAGTTAATATCTGATTTAGTATTCAGTGGCCAGTACTTCTTTGCTTTGGTTTTCTCATGTATAGAACAAAGAGTTTCATATCTTACAGGGCCTTCCTCTAAGAGAGAAAATTTGTGTGATGTAACAGAGAAGAAAAAGTTTATATAAACAGTGTAAGTCATTTCGATCATTCATTGCAATATTCTAGTCATATACACAGAGAAATTGTTATTTTTAATAAAAGTTAATGCTTTAAACGTGGCTTGACTATTTTGCTTGTTTACCTTGACAACACACAACACTGCTTCATTTGTATTTGGATCTGTGCTGATTTTGAAGTTTTCGTGTTCATTGCCCTGCAGGATCGTGAACACAGCCTTTGAGTGGGGGGTGTTTGGCAGATCGTCATCGTGAACCTTCATTCGTAAAATGTCCACGTTAATTCTGTTTTCTTCTACTTCTGTAACATACTAAAAGATGCCACTTATTATTATACATAGGCAGTTTTAACAATGGGATTTTTTACTTTAAAACTTACATTTAAAGGAAAAGTAAGTAAAGTGGGGGGATGTGCACTCCCTGGGGAAGATTTTACTAATTTAATGCATAGCTTACTCCCTTCCCCCTAAACTGCTTCTTGGTCTTCTCCATCCATCGGGCCTCAATCACCTCATACCTTAACGTCAGGACTTCTCTGAGGTGATTTTCCTGGTCATTCTGGTCCTCAAATTTGTGTCTCCTCTGAATCTCTACAATATCCACACTATATCTCCAATTTTTAGACATAGTAAGCACCAAAATGCTTTATGTGAATGTATTAAACAGTATTTGCAAATGATTTTTTTTTTCTTGAGATGGAGTCTTACACTGTTACCCTGGGTAGAGTGCTGTGGCATCATAGCTCACAGCAACCTCAAACTCTTGGGCTTACGAGATCCTATTGCTTCAGTCTTCTGAGTAGCTGGGACTACAGGAATGTCCCACCATGACTGGCTAGTTTTTCTATTTTAGGTAGAGATGGAGTCTGTTGCTCAGGCTGGTCTTGAACTCCCCAGCTCAAGCAATCCAGCTGCAGTGGCCTCCCAGAGTGCTAGGACTACAGGTGTGAGCCACTGTACCTGGCCTAAAATACACTGATTCTTATTTCTGGATGACTTGTTTTGACATCAGTGTTTTAAAGTTTCCTTCTGATTCACTGGTAAACCCTTTAAGAGAAAAATTTCCCCCTTTTTTTGAGAAATTCAATCATAGTCTTTCCTCTAGAACAGAAATATGGTTACCAAAGCATAAGATATTAAATGACTTTCGAGTGGTAAATTAGAATTTGCTAGAGATGCAGGAATCCTAGATGGATGGTAGACATTGGAGTCTAAGGGATCCAAATTCAAATCCTAGTTAACTGTTTTGTTGTACATGGTTTGTATGTGTAAGATCTTGGGCAGGTTACTTAACCAACCTTCCATTAGCTCAGAAGAAAGATGGGATGAAACAGATACTCACACCTTGGGAGGACTGATACAGAAAAATACCGGACTGTGACTATCATTGTACTCACAGGTTCTTTCTTTCTCTTTCCATTCCTTCCTTTTCCCCTTCCCTTCCCTTCCTTTCTCTCTCTCTCTTTCTTTCTCTCTTCCTTCTTTCCCTCCCTCCCTCCCTCTTTCCTTCCTTCCTTCTTTTCTTTCCTCCCTTCTTCCTTCCTTCCTTCTTTCTTTCTTTTCTTCTTTCATTCTTTCTGAAAGAGGCTCACTCTTTCACCCTGGGTAGAGTGCAATGGCATCACAGCTCACAGCAACCTCAAATTCTTGTGCTTGAGCAATCCTCTTACGTCAGCCTCCCCAATAACTGAGACTACAGGTACCCACCACAACACCTGGCTAATTTTTCTGTTTTTAGTAGAGACCACGTCTTACTCTTGCTCAGGCTAGTCCAGCACTCCTGAGCTCAAATAATCCACCTGCCTCAGCCTCCTAGATTGCTAGGATGACAGGTGCAAGCCACTGCATCCAGCCTGATAGGTTACTTTTTCTTTGACATATACTCTGGTGTAGATTAATGCAACAAATGGAAGGTTATTTAATCAAAAGTTCAGGAAGAGGCTCCGTGCCTGTGGCTCAAGTAGCTAAGGCGCCAGCCACGTACACCCAAGGTGGTGAGTTTGAACCCAGCCCAGGTCCGCCAAACAACAATGACGGCTGCAACCAAAAAATATAGCCGGGCATTGTATTGGGTGCCTGTGGTCCCAGCTACTCAGGAGGCTGAGGCAGGAGACTCACTCGAACCCAGGAGTTGGAGGTTGCTGTGAGCTGTGATGCCATAGCACTCTACCCAGGGGGACAGCTTGAGTCTCCTGTATCAGAAAAAAAAAAAGTTCAGGAAGAAAAGGAGAACCATTTTCTGGAGGTATGGTCATAAATATGTATATGAAGACACCCATCCCCATACACACATACACACACAGAGGGTGCCAAAAAATGTATACACATTTTAAGAAAGGAAAAAAACTGTATTAACATTATAATAACATATACCAATAACAAAGATAAATACAAGTCACACTGAGCACCTCTTGTAATTGCAGAAGTCAAATGTGATTTGAGTATGACAAATTTAATACATTTTTTTTGTACCCTCTGTGTGTATCCTGTATGTTTGCTGTCTAGGGAAAAGTTTGCTCATACATGACGCAAGAGACTTGCGTGGAGTGCTGGTGGGCTAGTCTACACTACTGGCTCCACCGCAGGACAGCTGAGCAGAGGGTATTAAGCTTGTTCCTTTTTCATCTTAAGCAGGAGAAATGTGAAGGACAACAGAGAGAGGGCCTCTTCTCCTTCACCATAAAAAGAATTTAAGTCCCAGGAAGCTGATACTGGAGCTTAACAACCAAGAAAATTTCGAGCACATGAACAGCATCAAGAGCTAAGAAGCTTTTCAGGAACCAAAAGCAAAGTTATTTTCCTAGCATCTGCTTTAAATATTTTTATAGACGTCATATTTTTCTCCTTATGTTATTTGTAGCTATTTAAATCAAAATGCATGATCTCACAGAGCTACCAAATTCTACATTTGAGTTTTGAAAAGGTACATGAATCTAGATGCATGAATACAGAGATATACTCACAGAAGTTTCTGTGAAATATGGTGCATTGTCATTTTGATCTAGAAGTGAAATAGTAACTCTTCCAGTACTAAATAAACCAAAAGGTTGGCCTCCCATGTCTCGAACTTCCATTATTAACTCATAAGTATCACATTTCTGAAAAAAAAAAAAGATACATTTAGGAACACTTCTATTTCCCATAACTCAAAATTCTCATACACACTGCTTAGGCTGTAATTATTTTATGAATGTATATATATCTATATATATATAGAAACAGTGTCTCACTTTGTTGCCCTGGGTAGAGTGCCATGGAGTCATAGCTCACAGCAACCTCAAACTCTTGGGCCCAAGTGATTCTCTAGCCTCAGCCTCCTGAGCAGCTGGGACTATAGGTGCCTACCACAATGCTCAGCTATTTTTAGAAATGAGGTCTCACTCTTGCTCAAGCTGGTCTCAAACTCCTGAGCATAAGCCATACCTTGGCCTTCTAGAGTGCTACAATTACGGGCATGAGGCACTGCACCAGACCAAATATTCTCAATACACACACACACACACACACACACACATTATTTAAAAAACCACACAAACACAAGTACACAGCAAGAGACTGGCCAATCAGTAAAACGAGTAGCTGATGTATTTAACATAACATTTCAAAAGTTAAATCTGCTTTTTTTATAATTGACAAAATTTGAAAGCAGCCAAAATGTCCTTCAATAGGCAAGTGGATAAATAAACATCCAGACAATGAATTATTATTCAGTGTTAAAAAGAGATAAGCCATCAAGCCATGAAATGTCAAGGATGAAATTTAAAGACACATTCGTGAAAGCAGCCAATCTGAAAAATCTATATACGGTATGATTTCAAGTGTATGACATTCTGGAAAAGGCAGAACTATGGAAACAGGGAAAAGATCAGTAGTTTCCAAGAGTTAGTGAGGGGGGAAGGATGTAAAGGATTTTGAGGGCCCTGAAACTTCTCTGTATGAAACTGTAATGTGGAAACATGTTGTTATATATTTGTCCAAACCCATAGAACGCACAGCACCAAGAGTGAGCCCATAAACTATGGACTTTGGATGATAACGATGTGTCAACATAATAAGTTCACTGATTACAACAATTGTAGCACTGTGGTGCAGGATATTGATAGTAAGGGGGTGGGTGTGGACCTGTGGAAACAGAGCATACATGGGAACTATCCGTACTTTCCACTCCATTTTACTGTGAATCCCTAACTCTCCTAATGAAGTTTATTAATCAAGAAAAATTACACATACTGGAGTCAGAATATTTTTGCAAAACAAAAGTAAAATAAAATGAATCTAAAGCGATTTTTGTACCAACAGATCAAATCAACAGATCAAGTTAGGTCAGTGATCTCAAGTGTGATCTTGTCTAACACCTTGAATTTCCTAACATCTCTATAGAGACAAGGACATCTCCAGAGAAGCCCTACAGAGGTAGACTTAGAGAACAGCCCAGTAGTGTAACTTATCTTGGGAGGTTACTCCCAGTTTAAAGACAGATTCAAGACTGGAAGACTAGTTAATGAGTTCGTTACTTCTCTGTCCAGGAAAGGTGTAGCTGTGGTGATGACGCCGGTGTCTGGATGGATGGAGAAATGCTTTGGATGATCCGGGATTTGCTGTAAGATTTTATATTTCAGACGAGTATGCAGCGTGTCAGGTTCATCAAGGTCTATGGCAGTCACTTGTCCTACTGAAGTTCCTGTTGAGATAAATCCCATATTGCCAAACATTTTAAGTTGAGACATAACTGAATTATAAACAAAAATAAAATCAAGAGCAAACCCTCCCCCCAAGCACAGGTAGATTAGTTTTAAAGATAAGTGGAAGAATAGGTAGGTTTTTCTCCCAAATTTCTCCAAGCCCAACTTGAGTGTTACCCAGAGGAACAGTCCATCTTTGTGTATTATAACAAAGATTTTATATTTTTATAGTTTAATAAATGTGCTGGACACAAACATAATGCACAATCTGACTATCATCGGCCCAGCCATGACAGTATTAGAAATGCTATATGTGTGTATGTACTTGGCAACAGAATGGAGGAGGCCATAGGAGGTAGTAACATTTATTGCAAATTTTTACATTTGTATTTTTTGGGGGGGGGGCCAGGGCTGGGATTGAACTCGCCACTCCAGATATGGGGCTGGCACTCTACTCCTCTGAGCCACTGGCACTGCCCACATTTGTATATTTTTAAATAGAATAAACTAAACTAGACAGTCTTGTTACATCCCTTGGTAGGCCTATCTAGGTCAAAATCTTGGCTGCATGTAGCAGCACACCAGTTTAATGATTTTTTTTTCCAATTTGTTTGGAAGATATGCCAAAAAAAACAATGCCTATGTTATTATAAATAAAACCAGTGTTTCCATGCCATGATATATTTCTGAGTCCTTGAAAATGTATTGAAACTTTATAAAGATTCAAGTTATATGTTGTTTCACAAGTGCATATGGGACACATCTGTACATGGTAAGAATGGAGGATACAAACAGCATTTGTTGAGTGTTGAGAGCCATTGTAGATTCATCTAACTAGCTAGTAACTTTGTAGATTCATCTAACTAGCTAGTAACTTTGTATTAGGTAACTACCTCTTACATGTGCACAGCAAGATGAGCAATAAAAGATTTGCCTTTGAAAACTGGAAGATCTTATAGGACTAGAATATTTTGTATAATATATCCTTGAAAATAAGATATTTTACAATATTATACATAATTGTGTTTAAGACAATGAGGCATTTCACTAAAGCAAAAAATGTAGTGTTCCTAAAATTGCCATCATACTAGATAAATGCTTACAAGCTTAAGCTAAAATGAAAATTAATACCCAACAGTCATTTAATAAAGAGAATTCAGAAAAGCAACACTGACATCATAAAATTTCAATGAAAACTGATATTTTGTATGCATACCCTGGAAAAGTCAAACTCCTTGAATTTCAAATGTTTGTTAAAAAAACTCCCTGACATCATAAAATGGACACTCCCATACTTTCTGTCATGTCACTCTCCTTTGGAGTGTTTTCTTTGCTTAGAAGGAAAGCCTGACTTTTTTCTAAATGTTGCCTTAATGATAATTTTAAAAACAATGACTAAATAACTGAAAAAAATAATCTCTCATTTTGCTGAAAGATAAAATGGTTTGGGGTCAACTCATGATTTCCTTGCTATACTCTTCCCACGTTCCTCGCTAGTCCTTTTGATATTGAACAACAATTTTTCCCAGTGGAAAAACTGAGCAACTCTCTGTCCCCTACAGACTTTCTGAGCATAGACATGTAAACCAAACACAAACTTCAGCAACAACCTCAAATAACTATTGCCAGAATTGTAAAGTCATGATATAAAAGGTAAACTGTATGAAATTTTTATCTTTTGAACATGTTTAAATTTAAGAAAATTTGCTCATGGTAATTTAAGACTCTTAATAGTGATGTCATATAACATCAATTTCTAATGGGAGAAAAATCTTTATGTTAATAATAATACCAAAGAAAAAGGTCAGATGTGGTGTTTCATGCCTGCAATCCTAGCACTCTGGGAGGTCTAGCTAGGTATTATGGCTGACGTCTGCAGTCCCAGCTGCTCCGGAAGGAGGCTGAGACAGGAGGATTGCCTCAACCCTGGAGTTTGAGGTTGCTGTGAGCTAGGCTGAAGCCATGGCACTCTATCCTAGGCAACAGAGTGAGACTCTGTCTCAGAAAAAAAAAAAAAAAGAAATAGCAAAGAGAAGCATGAAATGCAATGATAAAATTAAACATTCTCAATTCTAATGCTTATTAAGTGTCAAATAATCTTATCGATCACACTATTGTAAAATGTGAACTTACCGCTTCGGCAATTTTCAGGCACATTAAAGACCGTCTTCTGGTATTCGAAATAGGGGGTATTGTCATTATCATCTTCGATCCTCATTAACAAGGGGAGTGGATACTCTGGGGCGTAGCCATCTGCTGTTGTTGCATAGCCATACAGCTGAAAGGAAGAAAAATACCGTCACACCACAAGTCACGCCTAGGAGTAAGCCCAGCAGGGGAAGGAAGTGTGGCTCTTAGAAAATCATTCATGAGGGTATCAGGAACCAAGAAATGAAGCAACCAGAAGGTAACGCGTGGGCATGCTCTGTGCCCCCCACAGGGCCTTGATCCCCTCTTCCTTCGCATTATTTCTCATTATTCTCCAGCACGTCCCAGGGACTCTGTTACGTGCACTGCAGCGTCCTCTGAGCTACCAGCACGCTGCTCTACTTGTTAGAATGCAGGTGGACTTTCCTACTCATGTTAGTAACAAGAATTTTTTTAAAGTATATAAACAATAGGATTCTATTTATTTAGGGATTTATAGATACCATATAAAAATACATGACACCTATTTCTGGATGATTCAATTATGAGTTCTTTTCTCTATTTACCTGTATTTTCTCACTTTTCTTTCATAAACATGTATTGTGTTTTTGTAATAAAAATGCTAATAAAAGCATACACTGTGCCGGGGGTGGCTCACGCCTGTAATCCTAGCCTTCTGGGAGGTCAAGGCGGGTGGATTGCCTGAGCTCACACGTTCAAGATCAGCCTGAGCAAGAGTGAGACCCGTCTCTAAAAGTAGCCGGGGGTTGGGGGGGCACCTGTAGTCCCATTTACTCGGGAGGCTGGGCAAGAGAATCACTTGAGCCCAAGAGTTTGAGGTTGCTGTGAGCCATGACGCCATAGCACTCTACTAAGGGCAACAAAGTGAAACTCTGTCTCAAAAAAGAAAAAGAAGAAGGGTAAACCTTTTACAAATTCCTTTCCATTATGGTATGTCTTATCCCCAACTGCCAGGATTTAATGTCTTTTCCCGTTAAACCACATCAGATTATTTCTGCCCTCTCCTTATCTGGTTTTTACATAGTAAATATTCAAAAAAACAGGTGTGGAACAGATTTTCTTTGCTGACAGACCAACTAAACATGCCCCAGTGAACTCTGTTGATCAGTTCTTTACCATGACTGGCTCTTTTCCTACCATAAACATTCCTAAAACATGAACTAGGATCACAATCTCAGGCATCAAACTCCTCCTTTCTCCTTAGCCTGATTGATCAGTTACCAGCTTCTAGAGACTGTGGCATCTTCTCTCCGTCATCTAGTTGTCTCTTCTATTCCTGCTGCCATCAGCCTCATGTAACTCCAAAGGTATCCTACAAGTTGTTTTACCAACTTGCCTGCAATTGTTCTCACTGACCTTGCCTTCTCCAATTTATGTTGTACTCAAAAGTCAGAATTTATTTTCATAAAGCACAATCGTAATCCTGATACTTCATTGATCTACTTCTTATCTGCTAAAGCCATCACAGAATCCTCACTATTGTGTGAAAAGTCAACATTTCCTCTTCACTATTCCTGCTAACCTGGAGAAGAAGGGACTTCCCCAACAGCATTTGCTATTGAAAGTATTAAAATAACATCTATGCTCTCTCTGCCCTTTTATTCATTTTCCCCACATAACTACCAGGTGGGCTATTCAAGTAATAAAATATATTTTGATTTTCATCTGCCTGATATCTGTATCTTATTGATCAAAAAATTCCAAACTCAGGAATGGAATATAGGATGTATCATGACCATTCATCACACCTCCACGATGCTGGTCATCAATATCCCCATTACTGTCACCACCACCAGCGCCATCATTGTCATCACCGTTGCCACCCCATCATCATCCTCCCCACCTGCACATCCAGGTGTCACACTATTTACTTTCCCTACCAATCCCTCCCCTTCTCTCTGTATAGATTATGTGGATTTTTCTTTTCTAAAATGCTGCTATGTTTATAGTATTGTCTAGAAAAACCTACAAAACTGTTTTTATTTCTATTACAATTTTCCTCAGGCGGTAAGCCTGAGACTTACTGCTATTTGTGTCTCTGAAGCACCTAACACAGTAACACAGTGCCTAATGTTAGATGTGTCTTCAATACATAGGGTTTTTTGTAGTCAGTTTTATCCATCTTTCCCTTTCAGGAAGATAAATTGCCCCTTAAGTTTGCCCTTTGTGAATATTATTATAATGATTCCATTGCACCTGTTATAATGAATTCTTCTACTTCAACACAATGGAATTAAAATGTTTCCTCACCCTATCTAAACTAAGCCCATCCTGCTATAATTTACACTAATTTTTGACAGTTTTTCTTTTCAAGGAAAGTTAAGATCATCTGCTTCCCAACATATGATCACTTATACTTTGAAATAATAATACTGCTTGCTATGTGACTATAAGTAAATATTATTTTACATTCCGCTGAGATATTATTTCACATTTAGCTTCAGTGATTTTGCTTCAGGCTCTATTCTGGACTTTTTCTTTGTTTGTTTTGCTAGTATGAGCCACATATCTCCAAAATGAGTCAAAATTGGAACCATCATTGTAAATAGGAAAATATAAACTAGGAATATAAGTAAACATTAAAGCATGACCTAGCTTTAAAAGAATCTACTTATGTCCATATACTAGAATAACTAATTATAAATATATATATTTTTATATGCATATAAATATATATATTTTTATATACATATAAAAATATATATATATATACATTTTTTTGGCAGTTTTTTTGGCCAGGGCTGGGTTTGAACCCACCACCTCTGGCATATGGGGCCCGCACCCTACTCCTTTGAGCCACAGGCATGGCCCTAGTATAAATATTTTCATACTTAGTCATGAAAGCAACAGTTTAAAAAATCAAGAGAGGTAATAGTTTTTTAGTCTGGTTTCTATTATCGTATATTAAAGTCAATAATAGTATGCTTAAATGTTATAAAAAGAATAACATAAAATCTTAATAGTCATATTTTTAGCTGGGTGCGAAAAGTGTCACTGAATGCGTGTGTTATTGTGAAATCCTTTCTCCTCTGAATTCTTCTGTAGCTTGTAGAACCTTATTTCTTTCAGCCCTTTCACATTGTATCTTGCTGCAATTGCGGTCTTTGGGAAAATGGAAACAGCTACCAACAGGAGCTGGGACTTGACCTTGGCCTTGCAGGGAGAGGCAGTCAGGAAAGGAAAGCAGTGACCCGAGAAGAGGGGGAACAGAGTGTGAATTAGCAGCATATACGTGAAGACCGTGCATCCGCCTGTACATCTGGAAAAGAAAATCAACCTTACAAGATAGTAAGGTTCTGGCTGAATAGTTAGAATGGGCCAGATTAAAACTGACTTGTCCCAAGTCACAGATTCTCTCAAGTATTCAAAGAGGAGGGGAATTCGAAGCTGCTTTCTTTCAAAGACTAAGTTGGAATTGTTGATGAAATCTCTTTTTATACAACTGTTCTTGGAGAAATTTGGAAAAATAGCTTTGTATGAATTTCTGAAAAATTATATGACTTTAATGGTTTAAGACAAACTCTCCAAAACTGCAAATAATGAAGTGACTCATCAAAGAAGACCTTCACAATACCACATGAGGGTAAGAGAGAGTGAGGACGCAGAAAGGCTATGTCCTGGGTTGGACCCATGGCTACGAGTCTCAATAGCTGATAAAATCAAATTATGTCAGACAATAATCCTCTATTATTAACACTT